TTTCCCTGAAGTTATCTACAGGTATCCTTCAGGTATCAGTTAACTGCCTGCCTCCCATAGCTCTTCCACGTCTTCCAACATTATATCTGTTTTCTCCATTTATCTACAACGAAGCGAACTCTGAACCAGCTCACGGTCAGGCCTCCGGGCTGATAGAAGTAGTGACTCGGACTACATCTAATCGAGGTGGCACTAGCCCCCAGAAAGTACTATATTGACCTCCCCAACGATTCTGCCGCTAACATGGGCTTTCATGTATATCTAACAACCTCACCGTAGTGACGCAGATTGTGATTTCTCATTTGAAGGGAGCTGACTATAAATTAAGCGCACTTCACAGTACCGCCTATCGGGTGCCAAGTCATATCAAGCTTTATCACAGGGGTTCAGTTTCTGGTCTACCTTCTTAACTAGTAATAAAAAATTGGTAGTCAGAGATTTGCGCGTCAAAAAGACAACGAACTCCGAAATTAACTGACTGAGATATAAAATACGTCAAGATGGAAACCTCAGAGGTAGTACCGCTAAAGTCTACACAGTCTCCATTATATACCTATATCAGCACATTGAGAAAAACTTATCACTATTTTCTTCACCCGGGGTAAGAAACAGTTTATTAAAACTTCGTGTTCTGTCTACTCTTCAAATACCATAAGTACTGCCAGCAACCGTTTCGTCTGTTTCGCAGATTTCACTTCTGAACTTGACTGGATACCGCAGTTCCCTGTGGCCGTTTGTTATGTCATACCATCGAAGTTAACGCAATTGACCTGAACCTACTACCACTGAACTAGGACCGAAGTCCGTATACATGGCGAGGAAAATGACTGTTGGTGTATTGTTGATGTCTTTCAGTCTATTTTGTCAGGTCTGTCCAATTGCATACTGGACTAGGCTCTTCAGCAGAAGTTGGCAAAACAAATAAATGTTAATCTACGTGATGCCCTACATATTGTCGATCATTACCGCATTAATGACGTTGTACCACTCTTAAACGACCACGCATACGTACAACGTGTGCTGTCTCCTAATAATGAGATGGCCGCCGAAGTGGATCTAAAAGTGATCTTGGGTCCCCCAGTCAAATATATCTGTTCGGTCACGGTAAGCAGTTAACTACTTGAGCCAGTGAGCTTTTTTCATATCCGAAGCTTCTACCAGTTGGGTTAAGTAAAGACGAAATCCACTATATGGCCGATCGAGAACGCGCGATCTTTCCACTCCATAGAAACTCGTTAAATCGGAGTGCTGTCGGTCGTAGAACCAAACCGCACATATATCAGGCTTTACGGGTTTGAAACATCATCCATATTCCCCCCGAGGTATCCATCTCCTGAAGGAAT